AACCGGGTGGCTACTTTATCTATCTCCGAGATTCTGAGTTCCGGAGCGGTGCTACGAAAAGAGGGAGATGAATTACAAGTCGCACATGTTCTGACATAGCGAGGATCATTCGCTCAAGAGTCGCATGCGATGTGCATAACAAGGACCAGACAGCCCAATGACAATCGCATGCTTCGCATGTCGTCGTTCCAATCACATGGCGCGGTCCAGATGGCCTTGATCCAGAAGACACTGTGATTGCTTGAGCCTCGAATGAGGCCCTCAGTGACGATCCGACGGCGGAAGCTGCGTGTGTTGAACGAGGAGTGGCCGCCCGTTTGAGGTAATAAGTGAGCGACGACGCCGGTGGCCACGATTGTCGGAAACTCTGCCTTTAGTTTCACAAGAGCAAGTGCTGCTACAGCTATGTATCACTGTTAGATGATGTAAATAAACGTTTGTTATTTGCGCCGCATTTGCAGTGGCATGACATTATTTGTAAGATTCTTATTTTCCAGGCGCTGATGGTAGGTAAATGAATAAATTGCACTAGACCTACGGTAAACCTGCCGAAAAGTTGTTATGTCATCGCCACTTAGCGCTCGCCTACATCTACATATGTATATAATTAGAGTTATATAGCCTTTATCCGCAAAAATGCACCACCTTTCATGCCTTGCTGCTTGTCTTCTCACTTTGAATATCAAGAAACTTCCCAAAAAGGGCTTCCTGCTCTATGCACTGCCTAAAAATGCTTATCATTGTCATTTAATATCTGCACAAACCTTCAAGAACGTTCAAAAAGTTGAACACTGTTCAACTTTTTGGCGACCTCACCAACCAACCAGCATGGGGAGCAAACTTTCAAAACCTTACAAATGTCTCCATCCGAAAACACGTGTCAAATACCCGGTTCCCACCACCACCGGCAGAGATCGTAAAAATGCATGCTGTGATTTTGCCGATCTTGCCGGTTTTCTCCCGTTATTTTACTTTAAGATGTTGAACGGTCGTAGTGGGAACCCGGCTTAACCCTCGCCCATGTAGGGGGGGGTTGGTGCAACCCCCCCCCTGAGGCTTTTCGGAAATAGTGCAAAAACGGCGGCGCGCAGCGCCGCCAAATTTTGGGTACCTTATGGGGCAAACCTTGCGCATCTTTTGATGAAAAAAAATTTGACCGGGTCATGTCAGGTCACGGAGTTATGACGTCACAAAGGGAACAGCCTCCGGCCGGATTTTCACAAACTGAGTGCCAACGCCCGAGGTTTCCTGCCGGTGGTACGGACATCGGTTGATGGATCGTGATGAAACTGCCCATGCATGTTGGGGCAAGTATTGGCTATCATATGGTATAAGAAACTTGACCGGGTCAGGTCAGGTCACGGAGCTATGACGTCACAAGAGGAACAGCGTCCGGTACTATTTTTGAAAAGCGCCCGAACCACTATTTTGCTAATTCTTGTCACCTCAATGGGAATATGCAGCAATATTAGCTTCTATAGGGAGCAAATGGATCTCCGAAATCCAAAAATACAATCAGATTTCAAAAATTTAAATTTTGATTTTTCGAATTTCTGCCGCCGACTGTGACCTTGCCGACTTCCGGCGCTCCCAACGCGCCATTTTTAGAGCTAGGGAAACGAAATACATACCAAACGATAGAGAATTGATCAAGGAACGCGATAGTGAAGGTTTCAAGTCGATATCTCTCACCGTTTTGCCGCAATCGCCGCGGAAAGTTGAAAAAAGTCTATTTTTCCGAAAATTTGACCTTTGACCGGTCAAAAGTAGGTCAAATGTTGACCTAGGACCAAAAAATATACCACCAATCGCGAGATCTCGGCGAGAGCAATCCGTTGGTCTTTTCCGCTAAGCTCTACGACGCTCCGTTTTCAAACGCCAAGGGGGGGTCGCACCAACCCCCCCCCTGCATGGGCGAAGGTGGCAGATCGCCGTTTACGGGCGAGGGTTAATAAAAATATGAAATCCGGGAGGATAAATTAAATATAGAAATTGTGGCCAACAGAACATTATCAGTTGCGTTCAAGATACTCGTAAGCATGATCACACACCCAGCTTACACGTGAGCCATGTAATAAATATTTTTGATAGACATGCTTGCTTAAGTTATGAAATCATCTAAAGTGTTTGTAAAGTTCCACGATACGGATCTAATATCCTGCTATGCATCATGACCATTTCTGGTCAGGTCATGTCTTTGAACATCGGCCAAATTCTTGAAATGACCTTTAACCCGCGCCCCGTAGGGGGGCCGAAACGGCCCCCCTGTCCTTTTCGGTCGATATCTCCTAAACGGCTGGAGATATCGCCACCAAACTTTCAGGACCCCTCCGGGCATCGATTTTACACATTGTGACCAAAAATTTTTCCAGAGGCTATGATAGGTTGGCCACAAATGACGTCAGAATGACGTCATGTTCTGTCATTTTCGACCGAAAAAAGACCTTCGCGAGAAGACCTGTCAGGGCTACAGCTTTGAAGATAGAGAAAAATGATCAGACACAAAAGGTGTAGAATTGCCAGGGCTACAAAACTGCTATCTCGGATTTTTAACATTTTTGAGTTTTGACCCCCAAAAATCAAAAATGCATTTTTTTATATATAAGCCGAAAAATCCAAAAAGTTTTTTGATTTTCGAAAAACCCGGAATATATGTGATAGTACCTACCGTCTTCTATCTACATACCAAATTTCAGATTGATACCTCGTTTTTTGGCCAAGTTATAGCGAAAAAACTGTTCAAAAATGATGACGTCAAATTTTCAAACTCAATTTTTGGCAATTCTAGACCTCGTAGAGCAAAACAAAGACCACCATTGGACTCCCCGTGACGAGCTGCATCGAATCGATACCCATTTTATGCAAAAATATCAACTTTGAAATTTGACCTAATTTGACCTGACCTTGACCTGACCTTCACCAAACCGTGACCTAAGCTGGCCCCAAAGGCTACCTAACCCACATAATCGCATTTGTCATGTAAAATAGACCATAAAACATGTATCACACGACACTTTCATAATGTGACCCCCGGTGACCTGACCTCGCTGTGACCTGACCTGGTATCAGTGACCTCAGATAGCAAAGTATGTGTTTGACGAACAATGTACCATCGATGGTTTTCAATAAATTACCAATTTACTCGATTTCACAACACATTTCTTGAAATGCCTGTGAACGGTGAAAATCTGACCTTTGACCTGACCTGTGACGTCATCGGTTTGACCTAGGTCAATGAAATTTGGTCACAAGGTAGTTCCCGGGTGGGGCTATCGAACGCCGTTTGAATTTTGAAAATCGGCCGGTAACTTTCCGAGATCTTAGGGGGGGGGCCGAAACGCCCCCCCCCCCCCTACGGGTGGTAGGGTCCGCCGGTAGCCCTACGGGGCGCGGGTTAAAGATCAACTTTTGATTCATTCGAAGCGTTTTGATAAGAGGAACACGAGGCTGGTAAAATTAATTTCATGCAAGTTTAGCTTAGAGCTTTTAGTGTTTGTGGAAAAGCAACTGGTTTTCTCATAATACCGATGATGGCAGTTGCTGTTATTTACGTGCTTAGCCGTTGACCTTAATTAAATCTGACAATATTATTCAGACATAGCGGTAAACGAGCTACTTGTTGTGTTAGGTTAGGCTCTTTCGGTCAATTACAGAGTGGTAAGGATGACAGGAATTAGGGGGAGACAGGGGGCCTGGGCGGGAGTCCTGGGCCTCATGCTCCGCTGGGGCCGAGCAAATCACGTGGGTTGGATTGCCCTGACATGGATAGCCGTGGGCGGTGTTTCACGGCCCCGCGCTGCAGCACGCTGCGCTGCGCTGCCATGCATTGTTGCGGCGGTTGATATGAATTCGGCTCCACGCTAGCGTTATGAGCTTCCGAGTCTGTTGATGCATCCATGGAAATTGGAAACCCAATGCACCGGTGCGCGCAACGCACCCTGTCCAAGCAAAATTTTATCATCGATGACCTCTGGTGACATGATCTTTTGCTCTGAACCGATCTAAAATTGGCTGAAGTATCTTTTCTTCTTTTTGCTACTTTTGACGCTACTTCGAATACCACTTAAATACCCAAAGCTGAGTTATAAGAATGATGCTCAATCCCCATTTCCACTCCAACAGGGCTTGAGAGTCTAGGCATTCCTGTGGGGCACGGGCTAACAATGACTATCTCATAATCATTGTGGCCATGAACATCTACTGCCATTCATTAACACCGGTTTCGCTGCGCTGAGCGGTGGCCGTCCCGTTTGTTGGATTCTACAGAGCTGGCTGGCGGAAAGCGTTACCGGCCGCCCGTCCACCGCCCGCGGGCCGGACCGAGCGGTCCCGCTGACCCTACCTGACCTGAGCCCGGCGCGATATGGGACAGGCAGACGGGGGTTCGGCTCAGCGAAGGCAGCGCCCACTGGTGCTGGGGACTTTTTTAATAGACCTACTGTACGCCGCACGAGTCTAGCGTCATCGTGTCGTGCCGCGTCCACTGTTCAGCGCTCTCTTCGAGGCTATTTCTCCAGCCTACATGGGTGGACTGGGATTGGAGAGGTATGGGATGATGCTGCTGTAAATACTCTGTCAAATGTTATGAGCGAGCAGGTCTAGTGATTAATGGCTTTAAATGAAATATCATAATTGAATTGAACTACCTATAGAATGGCATTGAGCGAGCCCTATCAACTATTTTCTTGTTGCCGTTGATGTGCAATGTACATACAGTTCTTGCGAAAAACAGGTATCTGTAACATGCTTTCTTTTTTCTGCTGTTACCCACCGTTTTCCCCAAACGGTGGTTCAATGACTCATCACTTTAGTGCTTCAAATGAACCTTTGGTTACGGCCCGAATTCGCCTTGGTGCATTCAACATGATGCTGGTAGGTATATATGCATGCCTGCCGCACGGTAGGTGTTTCCACAATCGCCCTTCACCCATATCTTCAGACGCGTCCTGAGTCCCTACTGCCTTGACGTCAAATAAACCAAAATAAAATAAAAAAGGAAAGTCATGAAACAAATGGTATTCAAGGAGCAGCAAGCAGGCAGTGATGTACCAACAGACAGTCGGTCGGAGAGACAAACAGACGGACGGTTTTCTGCAAACAATCACAGATGGGAATTACACTCAGTATGGGCACATCACGTACTGCATCCATAGTTATGTCAAGAATTGCTGTTAACTCCGTATAAACACAGCAATAAACCTTCAATCAACATTAAGTCAAGGTTGACGTTTGACAATCATTACTTTAACAGTTCAAGTTCATTGATGTTAGCACGCAATCAACAGTTTGCTAACTTGCATCTTTAAATTAACAGTTGTACTGACCAGATATGTTTGGGCACGACGGTGGAACAAAAACAGTGGCAGCGGCTGGCTCAATCTCAGTCCGCACTCGTAGGTCCGCGGCTCAGCTGCTCACACTCAGCTGGACGGCCCTAGAACCACCCCAAACATATGTATAAACGTTGTCTACTTTGACAATGATAAACTAATGACTGTAAACAGCAAAACTAAAGAACCTGCACCCAGTAGTACAGTAAATCAAAGTACAAAATTGAAAGCGCGACGAAAGTGGCGCTACGTTGGTTTGTTGCCATTTCCGCTGAATTCAACATCGCTCACAGCTAACAGAAAATATATCAGACAATACTAATTGTGCTAGCTATCACTTGGATGCATTCATTAAACATTTCAGACAATCATCAATAAGAAAATGAAAGCATACGTACGACGGCCCTCGACACCAGTGGTTCATTCAAGAATGAGCCTGCGTGGTCGACAATTTGGATGCGTCTCGTGCGCCAAACTCGTCAAAGACACGCGAGCAAACGCGGCCACTAAATGACGGGCCGGCTCCCGAACGTAAAGAGCCGCCAGATTTCTCACAAACGGCGACCGGTCGCAACAGTAGGTAACCGTGAAAATATAATATATTCAACAATGGCACTAACAAAGTAGAGGGGGTCTGCAGGATTGGCCTGGGTCGGTCAAGGCGTCAGGTCACACATGGCTATTGCAGCTAAAGGGCGTTCGCTGGGGCCGTCACATTAAGCACAGATTAATTGCTATTAAAGGGCGTCTGTTTGCGCTTTGCTCACAGTAAATGTCATCTGGCAGGGGCGTCGGTAATTTGTTGTGCCACTCCACAGAACACTCACAGCGAGGCGCCATTCAGCATGGAAACACATCAAGGTGTCGGCATCCATCCTTGAGCACATTGCTTTGGTGAAAGGAAAATGTCATCAGCTTTAATTACACAGATGATGTAAAGTTGCAATTTTCATATTGCAATCCTAACGCTGACGATTGAATATGTTACTTGTGGGAAGTTGAGTTTGTAGGTATAATTGGCCTGTGCGGGCTACGTACGCTGGTCACTTGTCAGTTTCAATTTCATAAATGATGGCTAAATGTGTGATAAATGTCTCTAAAATGCTAAATCAGTGAACTTTTGGTAATATTAGTTACCTAGCCGACATCAGTCGGATAATATATAACAAAACCACTACATTAACATTTTACCTAGCTTATTCTGTGTAGTTGAAGTTTTAGGTGGAATGCCTTATGCCCGTCAGGGAGATGCAATCTAATATAATGACTTATCACGGTGCATTTCTTATGCCACCAAATACATTTAGTTAACGTTACAGCTGCAGCTACAACTTACAAGCATTGCTTTCAGTCTGTGGGTTAAAAGCGTCCCACAATAGCACATCCATTTATAGTTTAGTAAAATGAAAATTCGCTTTGAAGGTTGTGCCCTCTCTACTGCTGTTGAAATAATTTAGGAAAAAAATCCGAATCGTTTGATTCCTCTAAGTGCGTGCCATTAAGGCAAGACGATGGCTCCATTCCAGTCGTTCGCTGAACTTTAACGGTGATGGAATCTCAACGCTCAGCTCTGAACTTTTCCTAAAATCGTGCCGTGTCCTTCGGGTGTCATTATCGCCGATGTCTTTTCTCACCTAATGAGCACATCAGATGGCGATTAGATCTCTGCTTCACGGGTCTCTTGAATAGCGGTGAAAAAGATAGCTCCAGTTCTCCAAGGGTGCGCTCAGTTTCAGGAAAATCGTTACCACCAACAACTTCTTTGTGCCAGACTTGAAGAAGTCACGTTCCGACATCATCCGACGCAAAAGGCAGAAGTTAAGAGCCACATCAAGCGTTTCAGCCACGAGTGATATTCCTCAGAACGCACATCTAAGCTCACGCCGAGACTTCACACATTAGACGCTGACCTCATCAGCTTAATGTCAAGTAATTATGCGGCGTACAATATCTCTGGTAGTGGCCATGTATTGCGATAGTTCATCCTCTCCCATTTATCTTGGCATTTACTACCTGACCCACGATTTGATAGCATTACCATAGCACAATATATAATTATATACGTGTATAGCACAATACGAGTATAGTTGCCATCTTCTTCAAATATCATGACAATTTGTTTCTGTATTGCTTTAGAGGACTGGATTATCACATCAGTGAACTTTGTCTAATTGCAGTCCGCCCCGTTTCTCGTTTTCAGAGCATCGAGCTCCTGCTGACAAAAGCCATCGGGTTCCGGTCGGCCCGGTGAAAATTGACGGGTTCGGTATGTGGGTGATGGAAGAGGCGTCAGTCGATTGATGCTGGTGAACATGGAACAGGCCTGAGGCCATATGACACAATCAACGCTGTTTTTCTTTTAACCCCAACAGACCATCTGATTTCCAGTTCAAACCGTAGAGTCGGAAACTGAGAAACGCGCTGCAAGCTGTTGAATGTTCATATACCGACCGACGCTCAAGTTCCGACCCGACAGAGCCCACGTTCATTCAAAACACTGAGCCGTAAGTCATATATATATAATCAACTCGCTAAACTGTTCCCTCAGAATCACTGGGTGTCCGATAGGGTCCGCTCAGCGCCGGTGCCAATCAATCCACCGGCAGCCTGTAATTACGCTGAGCTGGCGGTATGGCCGGCCGCCGCCGTTGCTCGGGCGCTGTGCGCTGGTGTCGGCCGGTGTCCAGGCCCCGGGTGCGTCCGCCTGTAACCAGCACATCTGTCAGGGCGGGCCGCGGTGCGCCGTGCTCACGCGTCCCACAACAATGCCGCCGGCGGCCGCCGCCATTCTTCCGTCCGCCTTATTGGGCCTTATCGCCGGCCGGCGGCTTACGCTGCTGAGCCGGCCAGACGCCGCACTAGGGGAGCCCGGGGGGAGAGAGGACTGGGAAATGAGAGAGTGGTGGGGTATGGATAGGGCAGAAAAAGGGCGACGGAAGAAAAGTGACGATGGATCGAGTGAGGGAAATGAAACGGGGCGAAGAAGGGCGATAAGGGTAGAGGACCGGAGCGAACGGCAGAGCACGGAGAGGTCAGGACAAACGACGATGTAATTCGAGGAGCTGGGTCGAGAGAGATCAACAAGAGACTAGTGGTTGTGGTAAAAAGCGGGAAAGCACAGGGACTTTGGGCGTGCTGGATGACGACCACTGTTGGTACGGTCTCTGGTTTCAGGAAAATTGGCTTACACATCAGTCGACTCCAAAACGGGTGGTTCAAAGGAGCTCGGGTCTGCTCCGAAGTCAGGCCGGGTTAAAGTGATGGGCAGTGGCTGCGTTGTGCCAGACACTAAAGGTCAGCCCGTATTGAGCCGGGCGTGCTGGCCGCTGTAATTCTAGCGGCTCAGGACAATTTTACCGCCACCCTGGAAACAGTGCCGGGGACAGAAATGGCACGGCAAACACCTCACAGGCACTGAGCAAACAGATAGTAATGATTCCCTCATTCGCATTGTTACTTTTGCTTCAGCTGTGCTAATAACAGCAGCTGGATGCGACAAAAGAACACAGCGAGAAACTCCCAAGCGGGAGATAACGAATGACATATGTTTTATCAAAGAAATCATAATATGGCATGCCATTACCGCACAATATACATGCGGAGAGAAAGACGGGAGGGACCTCTACCCCAAGGAATGACCGTACCCTAACATATATGGAGATAATATTCGCTTTTTATAACTTTTAAAATATTTTCCCCTTAAACCTTGCCAAACATAAATTCCTATTCTATGTAAATCACTTTTATTGCCTGTCATTTCCATCCATGGCATGATATATGAGGTCCAAAAGCGATAAATAATAAATATATGAAAAAGGTGTCTCAAGAATACGCCGAGCATAATGGCGATTCATGCTACCCTAATGCATGATCCTATCCGCATGCTTGTGTTTCTCGAACAACTATGTAGGCATTGGATGCAGTGCTACTTGGTTCCGATATAAAACTAGCCATGATATTGCTTTCCATGGACTGCATTTGCACTTCAGCGCTCATATGAAACAGCATATGTAAATACCTACTGGTAGCCATTCGCCATGTCCGTTTCACTTTTTGTCTACCGCGGAAGGAAACATTTACTTTGCATCCCAATGGTTAACAATCTCATGCTGTACCGTGCAGTTTCTGAGTCTCCCATTAGGTCAAAAACGTTTTTTTTTAATTAGCACAAAATAGCTTGCATATGCATAAAAGAGACCGGAAACACTTAGGCCCAACTCATGACAAAGGTGATGAGTTAAAACTCATACTCATACAAGTGAAAACTCCGCCAAAAACTCAGCGCACCTTTCTTACTGCATCATGCATTTCCTCGAAAGCTTCTCGTAAGCTGACGTCCCGGTCGGTCTCTGGCTGTGGTCTGACGTCATGTTGTGGCCCGGCCCGGCTCAGGTAGCGTTGACACTTAACACCTCGCTGCCGCGCTGAGCTGTCGGCGACACGGGCCGATTTTACGGGCGTGCGGAGCGGCGGCGGCGGGGGAGACCCCAGTCCATCCCGGTCGCGTGACACCACTCCGACGCATGTTGCGGCGGTTGGCGGTGGCTCCGCACCGGTTGGCGAGGAACCCGCTGTGACGCTGCAGCTTCGGAAGCCCGCCGCGGCCGGCCGCTGCTGCCCGGTGCGACCCGAGCCGCCGCGCCGCTCCGGCTAACGGGGTGAGCGGCGCGCCGGCAGGTCACCGTCCGGCTCAGCTCAGCTCAGAGCGGCTCAGCTCAGCTCAGTCGGGATCAGCGACACTTGCCGCATCTGATAGTAGTGCTACACTGGTGTGTCGGCCTGCTCCAGGTGGTTTCAAATGGAATTGCGCAGGTGACTCCACACCAGGCGACCGGGTGTTACAGAACATTAAACTGCTGCCCGCATTGCTGTAAGTGGCTTTAAGGCCTATCGGGCTTTAGTGACATTGAGCGTTTCGATTCTGATCCGCACCTGACCGATAACGGACAATGCGTTTTACCCAACTCGTACTTACCAAAAATAGTCCGATCTGTTTCGGACTGTCGGAAAATCCCCGGCCATCCGCTCGCTGACTGGAGCGTTTTCTTACCTCCGGCGCGCGCTGTGAGCGGTGGTCGGCCGGTGAGACAGAGTGGGCTCTGGGGACGTGTTGGGCGTCCAAGGACGGTTCTGATACGATATACGGATACCGGCTGAGGATCAGCGCGCATCGGACTGAAACAAATACCTCCGCCGGGACCGGCCGCCCCTCCCGACACCTCGCCAGCGCCGCCGGAGGAGGACTTATTACGCGCCCGAATGGGCTCCAGCCTTTGTCTTCATGGCTCATGCATATGTGGGCGAGAGTTGATGAAGACTGACAGGTGATATCGACTCATAAGAATATCATTAATCTCAATCGATGGCATACCTTTGTGATGCCCATTAGGCTGCCCAAGAGACTGGTCTTGGGTTGAGCAATTACAGCTCCTGTAATTACCATGTCAGATCGTTAATTAACCCTTTTACAATTTACATAAAACGACTAACAAGAGGCACTTAAGTGGATGGGACTTCCTTCTTATACCGCTTCCCAAGTGATCCCACCTGCATCTCCCCGTTCTTGGTATTCCATTCGGATCTCACTCTCGCTCTGCCATTGAGCGCCCTGACACCACAGCTCTCCCCGTCTGACGGTGCCGTGAGAGTGCCGGTCGAACCCATCCCTAGCCTGTCGCCGCTATCGGCGCGGCACTTTCCGGCGCCGGTGTCGTCGTCACTCGCCGCGCCGTATCTGTGTCGCGTCGGGCGCGACGGTGATCCGCAGAGCGTCGCAGCCGACGGTCGATTCCCCGAGTCCCACATCGGAACCCCTTGGACCCCAGACCCCTCCCCGTCCGGACCCGCATGTGCCACCACCAGCACAGCTCACTGACGAATCGTCGCGTCCGGCGAGCCAACGAGAAAAGTCGGCCAACATCTCGTGGCGACCAACTATTTTAATCTTCCGGTCTGGCCGGCTGCGAGAGGCGGACGAACAGACGCCCGGCCGGCCGCTCGATGTCTGTGATATCCACTCGTCGCTCATAGAATGTTATCGACTGCCGGCCGGCGGCGATGTAGATTTCCGCGGACTGTTTCTGGGACGGTGGCGCCGTAGATCGTTCGGGAACTGCGTGTCTACCTGGTCAGGTCCAGAGCAATGTCCTGGTCGTGACGTTCGCTGGTGGGAAAAGTTCGACCTCGGCCAGATGGGGAATAGCAAGAGCTTTTCCATGAAACCAGGTGCGTGTCCCCGTAGTCGTGGGCAAGGAATGCGCCCTTTGTGTAACATTAATAATGTACGGGTTCTAAGTAAGCCGACATTTCTGAAGAACATATATAGAATGGAGCGCCGACCGTAATCCGATTATCCGCGGGCGCAGCGGGCCGCTGTCGCCGTAAATGAGTGATACTGGACCGGACACGTGACGACAAAATCCACCTGGCAACGTCGCCGCGCATTAGAAGCGCCTACATTTTAGTCCCGACATCGATCGGACAAATCGCCCGGTCCCACACAGGCTCCAGCGGATCTGGAAATTGCCTTTTCTGCAACTTCATCAATCATAGTCCTTTGTTGTGTGACCAAATGAGATCTCGGCCCTGACAGATCACTGAGGATATTCGGCGACCTGCAGGTATTGTAGCGAGGAATTGGGATAGGTGATAAATTATGTTACATTTTTATTTTATGACAAGTAGTTCGCAATGAAAGATCAGTTAAACGCTCAAAAGCATCAATTTCATTGAATCATTGAGGGAAAACCTTTGTCGTGGCACTGTAGAAATACAGGTGCAGGAGAGGTGTTTGTCTTGGAATTGGAAGGCTTCCCCTTTTGCGCGGTGCTCTTTGTCAACAATTAGCCTTGGTGAGCAGGGGCTCTGCCATGGTCTCAGGATTGGGGAGTCCAACCTAAAAATGCACATCCTTATACATTAGGCTGCATAACGGAAGTCAAAATTATTTGGGGGTCCGGACTCCACGACTCCCTCCCCCTCCCCCGGGCCGTGGTGGAGCCCCTGTTCATAAGAATTTGAACGGTCTAGCTAAAAACAAGACTACCAAAGAGAGCTAAAAACAAGACTACCAAAGACTCCAGAGGGAAGACGGAGCTGTGAGGAGGATACACTGAGCAGTGAGGATACCTACTGCTCGTATACTACAAAATATGTACGTAAATGGGCACCTGAGTAAGTACAATATTAAAAACCATGCTTAATTTTTAGTTTTATTCACGCTCGCAGCGACTCGCATTGGCTTCATATAAAACAGCACAGTCAATACTACAATTGCAACAATTTAACAGAATATTACATTTAGTAATTATAGCATGCTGCATGCGCAATATTAGTTGCCTCGAAACCATGTGAGATAAGACATGGAATGGTGCCTTTTTTAATCGGGCCATCCCATGATCCTCCCATTGTAATTAAACCAGCAATGCAAGCGCAAAGATAATTGTTCTCTCAATTAAAGTTGATTAAGTTGTACAAAGGAATAACTTCGTGGCCTCGCCTTCCACCGCTCAAGAGAGAGGGTGAAAATAACAATGCATTTTAGCGCAGAGTAACGAGCTGTTTAGAAATTGTCCACATTGCAAGGAGTCCTTTGTTTACAGTAACAAACCGGGTCGTTGTTTTCCTTATCGGCAGCTTCACGGAATGCCACCGTCGATCCACCACAAATGCATGCATACATTCACGTATCCATCCATAACACACATCCATCCAGCTGCTGCGCCGCCACACCCCGCCGTTCAAATGGAAGCCTGAGAATGGCAGCCGACCGGTCAGTCAGACGGTCCCGCGTCCTCACCCTGGGGTCACTCAGTCCGCCCCCCACCCCGCCCCGACCCCGCCCGGAGTCCACACACCTCTCCACACTGCTGTCTGCTGGAAACCCCCACCGACCACCGCGCGGCGCGGCCGCTAGCTCTCGTGGTACGAGAAATAGTCATTGGTGGAGGAGAACCGCGGGCTCTTGCGGCGCGTGCTCGGCGTGGAGCCCACCGAGAGCTGATCGCGGTTCTTCAGGATCGGCTTGAGCGTCTTTTCGCGCGGCTCGGCCGGCAGGTCGAGGTCGTCGGTGACGCCCAGGGAGGGAAGAGAGCGGCGGCCGGCGCGTCGCCGCTCGCGCTCCATCGTGTCGCAGCTGTACTGCATGTTGATGAGCTGGTCCTGGAGCGTGCGGTACTCCTGAAGGTATCGGTCCAGCTGCACGGCGTGGTACGTGTACGGGTTGTAGGCCGGCCGCGGCCGGTACTTGTAGCGGCCACAGTAGTCGGACATGTAGCCGTCCTCGTCGCCCTGCTCGAGCACCGGCGAGGTGGGCAGGCTCGGGTGTCGGCGCCGTCGGACGGGCGCCGAGCGCGGGCCGCGCAGCAGCTCCAGGGTGCGGCTTCTGCCGGCCGTCAGCTCGCCGAGCGGCGGCGGCGGCGACGCCGGACGGTCCGGCAGCGACGGCAGCCGGTCCGGTAGCGGCGTCAGAGTCGGCAGCCGACGGCCCGCAGACGGCTCGGCAGAGGTCGAGCTCAGCAGCGAGCCGGACAGGTCCGAGAGCCGCGACAGCTCACTGTCCGGCGACGGCTCGGCCGGCGGCGGCGGCGCCACTGGCACGCGCGGCATCAGACGGCGCGGCAGCGAGCCGTACCCGGTGGACGAACCGCCCGACACGCTGGAGGTGCCCTGCGCGACGCCGCCGCCGCCACCGCCGCCGCTGCAGTCCAGCCGCCGGGTGATGGTGTACGGCTCCTCGCGGCGCCGCAGGCTGCCGGCTCTGGTCGCCGGCCTCGGCAGCGGCTCGTCCGGCGTGCCGAGCGCACGTTCCGTGTCGCCGTACGACCGGGACGGCCGGGCCGACATCGATCGTGACACCGGCCTGGTTTCGTCACTCCAGTCGACCCGGTCGGTGGCCGGGCCGGTCGCCGGCTCGTGGCGCGTGTCCGGGACCGGGGGACACAGGGCGTCCGGGTGCCGCGGGCCGGACCGCTCGCCGGTGCCGGTGCCGGTACCATTGGCGGTCGGCCGGCTGACCGGCGCCGGACTGGGTCTTGCCGGGAGGGACCGGACCGGCGGCGGGCGTCCGGTCCGGCTCCGTCTGCGGCACGCGCGAGTACCCGGTACCGCGGGTGGGTCACCTTGTTGGCTGACGTCGAGTTGGATGTAACCGAAGCAGTTGCAGACGCTGGTCGAGTGGCGTTTACATGATTTCCTCGCGCTGCGCCTGACGAGCCCGACGAGCCTGGCGCCGGTTTTTCGTTGACGTGGTTGGCGACGGCGGGCTTGTGGTTGAGCTCAATCTGCGGCGCCTCGGTGGTGACCGCCGCGCGCGCGGCTGGCCGCTGCCGGAGCCGGGCGCAGAGTAGACAGGCACAGGCGCAGGCCGCCAGACTGACGGCCAGGCCGGCCGACAGCGCTCCGATCAGCAGTCCGTTGTCGAGCCGCAGCGTCACGTGAGTGACGGCTTTTCGGCCGGACACCCTGACGGTGACGTTGCCGGTGACGCCTCCGGCCGGGTTATGGGCGGCGCAGACGTACCGGCCGGCCGTGCTCTCGGAGACGGCGTGCAGCGTCAGCAGGCTGGTCTTCTCCTCTCGGCCGTGCTCGAACACGCGGTACCGGGTGGGCGGCTGCGAGACGGAGCCGTTCACCACCGGCCGGCCGTGCCACGTCCAGCGCACGCGTGCCTCCGGGGACGCACTCACCGAACACGAGAGCGTCACGTTATCTCCCGACCAGGCGGTGACGGTGCGCGCGCCCTCGCGGATCTGCGGCGGACACGCGAACTGCGACAGCGGCACGGCCTCGAACGCGCGCCGCCGCAGCCGACTGGGCGCCGCGCAGGTGGGCGGCTCGGCGCGCGACGGGTTCACCTTGTCTAGCCAGCGGCGCAGGTAGCGCGCGTGGCAGTCGCACGTCCACGGGTTGCCGTGCAGGTGCAGCTCGCGGATACTGTTCAGCGGCATCAGAGAACTATCGGGCAGCGTACGCAGCCGATTACCGTCCAACTTCAGCCACTGGAGCTTCACCAGCCCTCGGAACGCGTCCTCGTGCATCGCGGCTATCGCACAGTCACTCATCTCTAACCTGAACAGGTTCGGCACCGCTATGAACGCGGCCGCCGGCACACGCTCTATGGGGTTACCGCTGATTCGCAGCTCTCTCAGCGCCTGCACGTGCGTCAGCGTGTCGGACGGCACCAGGCGCAGCTCGTTGTGGCTCAGGTCCAGCTCCACCAAATTGATGAGATCGGAGAAAGCGCGTCGATCAACGTGTCCGATCCTGCAGCGCGACAGATGCAGCCTCTGCAGGTTCACTAGACCGCGCTCCGAGAACACGTCCGCGGTGAGCACGCGCAGTGGGTTCCCGCCCAGCTGGAGCACCTGTGTTCCCGTGTCCAGCGCGGCCGGCACCTCGTCCAGCGAAGCGTTGGCACACAGCGCCGTCTCCTTGCCGTCTCTCCACTTGCACTCACAGCTGCGCAGAGGACAGGCGCCGGCGGAGGCGGCGGTGAGCAGCAGCAGCAGCAGCGGGAGCAGCGGCGGGGGCGGCGGCGGCGGCGGCGCCGGCGGAGGGCGGCTGGCGACCATGGCCGGGAAGGGCACCGGTCATAGTGGCGGCAGCCGCAGCCGGGCGCGCCGGCCGCGGCCCCCACGCATCAATCCCGACCCGGCCCGGGGAGCACGCGGCGGCCGGCTCGGCGGGCAGGGCGGCGGGCAGACGGAGGGGCAGCTCGGCTTCAGTGGACCCCGCCGGTCGGCAGCGCGGCGGCCCAGCTGCCGCTCACCCTGGGGAAGAGAGAGATCGTGTCAGCTTATCAGGTCAGACCGGAGCGACTCTGACTGCCTGGCACGGTTCGTCGGAAGGTCATCTCAGGCTCAAAAGAAACGATATGTACCATTCGAAAGCTGACGGTGAGCTGAATCCAAAAATGTAATTTTTATCAAAATCGATCGATGGCCTTTTTTGAAAATCGCGTTTTGTAAAAACTTTATAAGTTTTTATTCAACGGGCTGTCCCGGACATTCTTAAAAACACAAGCATGTATTTTTGAGTTCCAGTGAAAGCCGAACGCCAAAAGAAAATATTTAGCGAAGCAATATTTCCTAACATTATATGCGTCTCCCACAGCCGACAATAAGGCGCAATTACACAGCTCAATGTCACGATGGACCAAAGTCGGCCACACAGAAGCGTGAAATGACCCTTATCGGCTCGCAGACCCGGCGCTCTCGGCCCGCCTGACCGGCCACGGCAAGGAGTTTCGGCTGTCGTTCTTCAAACGGGCGTCATATTTGTTTGTTTAACGATTCAAGTCGGTACTTGAGTTATTCAGGATACATGAGCAGAAGATTCATTGCTCGGTCACCTTCACATCATGCATTAATTTGCATTTGTTCATGTCTACTTTGCTCAATTAAGCTTGGTATCATGCCCATATAAGGAAAATTGGCCGCGCTGAAATGTCAGAGGCTGCTCCGGCCTCAGCTCGGGTGGAGTGGGGGTAGCGCCCGGCGGGGCAGGGTAACCTTTGACCGGTCGCACGGCCGAGCAGCTGTCACCAGTACAGCCTCTGACAGTGAAACCCCGCTCACTTCCCCTGCGCGGGCACTGAGCGCAGCTGGATGGAACAAAACATGTATAAGAAAAATGTAAATTAAAGCATGTTGTAAATCGAGCAAAACAATGAATTTTCTTCACAGGTATCCTGTATAACTTTAATAGCGATGTGGACAGTTAAACTGACAAATATGACATTTATTTAGTAGAACGAGAGCCGAACGTTCTTTCCGTGGCTGGTCAGGCGGGCCGAGAGCGCCGGGTCTGCGAGTCGATAAGGGTCATTTCACGCGTCTGTGTGGCCGACTTTGGTCCATCGTGACACTGAGCTGTGTGATTGCGCCTTATTGTCGGCTGTGGGAGACGCATATTAATGTTAGGAAATATTGCTTCGCTAAATATCGTTCTATTGGCATTCAGCTTTCACTGGAACTCGAAAAAACATGCTTATGTTTTCAAGAATACCCGGGACAGCCCGTTGAATAAAAAATTAAAAAGTTTTTACAAAAACGCAATTTTCAAAAAGGCCATCGATCGATTTTGATAAAAATGACATTTTTGGATTCAGCTCACCGTCAGCTTTCGAATGGTATATTCCGTTTCTTTTGAGCCTGAGATGACCTTCCGACGAACCGTGCTGGGGAGGGGCTCGATAGGCGGAACATGTATTCAGTAGGGGGACCAAATCACGTCCGGCTTAAACCAACGGTCTGGGGAGATTTATGTTAGCGTAGTAAATCAAATCTTCTTGATATAACAATCTCTCACAAACCGACATTTCCCTCTACCAACCGCGAGCCTGGACACCCCAAAGTGTGTCAGTATCTTCTAACCGGTTCTTCATTTTACTTAGCAGTACCACTAATAAAAACGTCGTTGCGATTTAACCCTCGCATGTGTAGGGGGGGGTCGGATGGACCCCCCCCCATGGTTTTTCGCGAATAACTCGCGTAAAAAGCGGCCGATCGCAACGAAACTTTCAGTACCCTCGCATTGATCAATTTTACACCTACCCTGAAATTTCATGACCCTGACCCAAATGACCTTTGACCTGTGACCTCTTTTCCGAGACCATGTTTGGCCGGAATCGCGATTTCGCGTATGTCGGCTCGCACTAGCCGCGTGTTTGCAAGCTTTTCGTGGTTTCAAACGTTCCAACATGTGATTTGATGTTACTGCCGTGTGTGTCAAGGTCACCTGAAGGTCAGGTCAGGTCATTGACCTTTGGTGACCTCGGGTGACCTCGGGTCACTTTTTCGAGTTGTACATGTTTCTAGGCTAGTTTTTGGAGCTGAATTCGAATTTAGCAACCATTTGAACATTTACGAAGTAGTTTTGGTGACTTCGTAACATGTTACGAAGCTGTCAGAGGCGGTTGACACGTACTACGAATACCCGTCACGACGCCTACTGGTTGACCTGACCTGACCTGACCCGACCTGGTCTAAATGCTTAAAGACATCATCTGTGATCAAAATTAACACGATATTCGTGATCAGCACCCCGAAAAAACCCCTTAGCAGCCACACTTTACGACTTTCTAACAGGTCCCGATTTTCCCGACTTTGGGTCATTGACCTGACCTGGAAGGTCAATCAATGACCTAGGACCTTAAAATTGGGTATCATCGGCTTCCTCTCGTCACGGGCAACACGCTCGTTTTTTCCGCGAAGCTCTAGCTCGATCAGGGGCCAAACGGCAAGGGGGGGGGTCCAACCGACCCCCCCCCCCCCTACACATTAGAAGCTGGCAAACGCCGCACACATGCGAGGGTTAAATAGTCCTGATCACGTCATCCAATTGCAAACGTCTGTATTAAAACGTTCCGAACTTCATCGATAAAGGAAAAACACATCGACAAAATATATGCGACTTAATTTGGTATATACGTAATTGACTGAGTTCTCCATGATCTTGAAAACTTCAAGGGTACTATTTAATGTTGCATATTTCCAGAATGGTAGGCAATAAGAGCATAACTTCATATTTCCCTTTCCGCTCCAATAGTCTGGAAATTAAATACATGAGGCGTGCTGAGAAGCTGGCACATGTGTATTGTAAACATGTCGCTCATGTGTATCTAAATCCCTGTGGGCGATATTGAGGTCGGGCTGGCTGGTGGAGCCGGTCGAATTATGAACTCTGTCCGGGCCATAACTCGGCGGCCGGCTGCCATTACAAGAGCCGCTGAGCGCCGGCAGCGGCCGCCTTATCAGAACAAGACGCCGCCGACCATAAATCGACACGGCGCCGTCGAATATACGGCCGCTGCCGGGCCCAGCCGACCGACGGTCACCGACGGTGGACGCTCGACGGTCACCGACGGGCGACGGTGGACGCTCGACGGTCACCGGTAGGGCTCGACGGTTAATAAGTGGAGAGGGCTCTCACGATTCCCGCCTCCCGGCCCTGTGACAGCGTGAGCTTTGTGTGCATTGTGTCGGACGTGTCTTTTATCTTGTGTCTGATTATATAAAAGGGTTAGAAAACGGCTCGACGGTCTTCGACGGCCACCGGTGGACACCAATGGACAGCCGCCGCCGCCGCGCCGTGCCGATGGAGCGGACTCCCGAGGCGCAACGGAGCACGAGAGGGGACATGACGGGTCGGGTAGAAAACCTGCGACCCAGCTCACGCCGTATTTGCGTGAATGACGCTTCACCGGAAACCCACGGAGGTTGGCGTGGGGTGGCTTGCAGGGAACGAGTAGAGACCAAGAGGCTTTGATATCGTGTGAGACAGGATAAGGTCGTCGTCGTTCAGTGGAAGGAAAATGCGTGGGGCCTTTTCCATGCTTTTACTTTGTTCTTCGGTATTTAGGCACAATGATATTAATGTCATCTTCAGTATCACCTTTGCTTGTATAAGATAAAAGTTAAAACATCGTTTAAGTCTGTACAATTTTACCGTCAATGTGGATTGTCGAGCCAGTCTCAGAAGAGCAGTCATTTAGCCCCGTCCTTCGAGGTACAGATGTTATCCGTAAAAATCGCTTTCGGCTGACTGGCTTGACTCCGTTGATTTCTCGGCGGTAACTTTGCAAACTTCTGGCGAATCTTTGGCTGTTGTGTGCTGTGTCAGGATCAGGAGCTGATCTGTGATCTGTGGAGATGCGCTCAGGCCTGCAGAGGTCATGACGTGCCTGAGGTTAGGCTGCAGAATAAGGCGACGATTCAAAGGAAAAAGCTCAGTTCTAAACCACTGCTAGGGGCCACAGGAATGTCGTGCTTACAGTAAATTTGTTAATTTCAGGCCTACCTAAGTGTTTTACGTTATCAAACATCTGACAGATTAATTACATTTCACCGGTCACGTTGAAAGCTGCCTCGGAGCCTTTTGTACATTTAAAACATTTGTTATATCAGATCGTTCCGATTAATCATTGAGTACCCTAATGACTGCAATTACAGTCATTCTCGTAAATCATCCTTGAAGCGAGACATAAAGACTACACATGCTTATCACGTAAAACGCAGCCGGTAGGCCAGGAAGTAATTCAATCTCAAGAGAACATCTGAGATATATCATGATGCCTTTCATACTGTCGGGCCCACAGTTACTTGGATGGCTAATTTCCCTCTGAATCGCTTGCCTTGACGCGAGACTGCCGTTCACTTTCAGCTATGGCCACTGCGCCATCACCTGTCCGCCATACGGCGCCTGCTTTAGTGAGTCGGTAACGATATTTATTCATGAGCCGTCGCGTATGTGCGGCGTCGTCGTTTGGCGGGCATCCCGTGCCTGGCGGACGGCCCGTCCCTCACAGGGCCGGGACGGCCGCAGAGCTGTCACGCCCGGCCGCGGCCGCTCCCGTTTGTGCTGCGTTTACGGCACGCGGCCATATGTCGGCCGTCTCGTGTATGTTGCATGGCCAGCCTGTCATCCAGAATGAACGAGTGCGGCCTGGGCATGGCATGGCCGGCGGCAGCGCGGAATAAATGGCCGTCCGGACTCCGGCGCGCCTCTGTCGTCCTTCGCCGCTGTCTGCCGACCGCCGGACGTTTGATCAACGCGCTCCGTCTGGCTGAGCGGAGCCGACGGCCGCTGAGGGTTCCTCCGCCGCCGCCACCCGGTGACCCAGGTGCCCCGCCGAGTGTGACCTTCACTGACCTTGCCAGGCAGCCCGGTAGACCGCCCCCGGCGGCAGTGCGCGCGGATCGGTGGCGCCGTACCTCCTGGGATCCGGACGGCGGAACGTAATTATGTTTGGCCTAGCGGGCTGATTCTAATCAAATGGCTCCGTGTCGGCGCCTCGGCCTATGAGCGCGGTCCGTACCGGTCATGACCGGGTTCCCGGCGCCGGCTCGGCTA